CCAGAATGGGAATCTTTTCCTAAAATTTCATGGCGACATCTTGAACACTGAGGAAGTTATGAGCAGTGAAATGGTCACACATTGGTTCTGCTGTGAACTGCAGCAAGAAAACATGAGCTGATTTCACCTAAAAAAAACATCAATAACGTCCCTCATACTTCAGATAATCACATGATTTTGGTGTTATTTTGTATGGTTTGAAATGTTTTGGAATCCGCTGTCAGATTTAATATTGGTGTAGGATTAAAAATTTATCCACATCCCTACAAGGTGTACATCCTAATTTCCTCTAATATCACTAAAAGAGTAGAGAAAACTCAGTTTCCTKTCTGTTTCTAAATTTAATTATTAATGGCAAGAAGCGAATCAAACTTTTATGAGCTCACTCAGTTTGTATCCCTTTTTATTTGACCAACCTTGACTATATTTCAACATATTGGACACGGTCAATTTTCAGCTTGATACCAGGAAATCATTTAAACTGTTGTTACATATAAACCAGCTGTGGGTTTTAGAGAATCCCCGCTCATTTTGCCATGAGATCAGCTTACCTTTTTATTGTTTATGGCAAGTTTAAGTGATAGTCGTGGCTAATAAAGATGATACAATACACCCAGAGACCTCCAATGGCAGCAGGGCAGCACACTGAGTCTGCAGCCTTTCAAACAGATTGAATTCAAGGTTTTATGACAGCAGTGAGTAAAACTATAATACCAACGTCTGAACACTGATCCGGTCTACTGCAGATTAGGTGATCCTTTTTTTTCTTTTTGGGAGAAAAATACATTTTGTTCAACAAACACTTGTCTTCTTCAAGTTTGACTTATTTGCTGTGAGACGATGTGACATTTGCAGAGCTACAGTTAAACAAACGAGCGGAGATACAATGTTTTCATTTAAAGGGATCCCCGATTAGTTGTAACATTACTTTTTTTAATAAACATATATTTTAACTGTAAAATAAAGACTTTTAAAAATACTGTAGACTGTTTTAGTTTTTATAAATTTTATACTAAAAGTTAAAAAATATATTACATGGACGGAGCCATTTTATTTACACGCAAAGCTTTCTGGGTAAATGACGTTGATAGGTCCTCGGCGTGAGGCTGCTAGCGAGCTATATCC